TTGCAACACGACCACCAGCGACTTTGTTGGTTAGAAGGTATTCGAACGTTAGACGTGTTACATGTACCTTCTCGTTTCTTGCTTTCCACCTGTCGGTTTATTTATAGAAGAATATTGTAGAAGAACTAGTTTGAAATATGTAGGATTTGAGGAGAAGTTAAGTGTAAATTTGTTGGAATTTATAGAGATGCTTGTATGGTTATTTTGTGGTGTGGAATCGGGTGGGTGTAGAATCTCACGCGTAGAGAGTACAGTAATGGGAACGTTCGCGCCTTTTAATCGCGATTCGACGAAAGGTGTTGGGTAAACACCGTGGGCGCTTAGGACGTGGGCACGTCTTTGGCCTGAATTTTGCGTGGAAAATCTTTCCGTCCGACGACGGTCGAAGATTTCAATTCGGTCCAAGAGTTCAAATTCGATGGAAAATTTCAAATCCTATCGAAGATTTCAAATTCGAAGCATTTCAAATTCGCAGATTTCAAATTCGAAGATTTCAAATTCGAAGATTTCAAATTCGAAGATTTCAAATTCGAAGCATTTCAAATTCGAAGCATTTCAAATTCGCAGATTTCACATTCGCAGATTTCAAATTCAAAGATTTCAAATTCGAAGATTTCAAATTCGAAGATTTCAAATTCGAAGCATTTCAAATTCGCAGATTTCAAATTCGAAGATTTCAAATTCGAAGATTTCAAATTCGAAGATTTCACATTCGCAGATTTCAAATTCGATGGAAGATTTCAAATTCGAAGATTTCAAATTCGAAGATTTCAAATTCGAAGCATTTCACATTCGCAGATTTCAAATTCGAAGATTTCAAATTCGAAGATTTCAAATCCCATCGAAGATTTCACATTCGAAGCAGTTCAAATTGGAAGATTGCGAATCCGATACCCACGAAAAATCGTGCAAAAACCTTCTAGAAACAATTCGTTGACCAAAAGGTTGCGTCAGTTTGTGCGGTCAGTTTTGCAGACAGGATCTCGCAACGTGTGATATTCAGGAGAATTGGCTTTCGAGACGTTGTATATGATTTCAAATTCGAAGATTTCAAATTCGAAGCATTTCACATTCGCAAATTTCAAATTCGAAGATTTCAAATTCGATGGAAGATTTCAAATTGGAAGATTTCAAATCCCATCGAAGATTTCACATTCGAAGCAGTTCAAATTGGAAGATTGCGAATCCGATACCCACGAAAAATCGTGCAAAAACCTTCTAGAAACAATTCGTTGACCAAAAGGTTGCGTCAGTTTGTGCGGTCAGTTTTGCAGACAGGATCTCGCAACGTGTGATATTCAGGAGAATTGGCTTTCGAGACGTTGTATATAGATATCTCTCGAATTTGTAACCATAACGCGACGAAACGTTTCGACGTCCGCGGAGTAACGGATTCTAGATGGTTTCTACGGCTTTGCGTTTCACTATAGGGACGCGATATATCATCCACGCACATTGTACACTCCCGTTCGTAAGTATTAGGCCACTCACGGAACGCGAAGTGACCTTAAACAGTCGTTGTAGAATTATTCAGCCTGGAATGTAATATATACGTGGTAGTAAATCTGGGGGAGAAATGTAGTTTAACTTATGGCAGTCGGTTATGAAAGGAGGAAATAGAGAGAGGATAGGCGGAAAAGGAAAGGGAAAGAAAGATGCGTCGGGTAAAGCTACTTAGGAGAACCGTGCCTTAGAGTTGCGTTAGAAATTCTATATACCGGGTGTCCAAATTTGATTTCGATGAAACTTCGTCAGTGCCTTCTATAGGTATAGTAAAGGAAAAAATGTTATATCGACATAGGTCGTTTGAAGGTTCGTTGAAAAGTTATGGCAATAATACGAGATACAAAGGGAAGCAGATGCGAGGTTATGATACAAAATAGGAATAGATCAGCAATATGTTTATGCGAGCTGTGCTTACGATCTGAGGTCGTTCAAGGTGTTGAATGTAACTTTTGCCAGCGCCATTCTTGTCTCGTATCATAGTAACCGCTCGTATTTCGTACTTTTATTATAACTTTTTATCTAAGCTTCAAACGACCTATGTTTCTATAACATTTTTCTCTTACATATACCTATAGAAGATACTGACAAAGTTTGATCGAAATAAAATTGGACACCCTATATATGCTGATAGGGAGCCTCGTCGACGCCGACTAGCGAGAAAGGTTGACGTTAGGTAGGAGGTATCCTTACAAACCACTCGTCTCAGAGAATTTTTGAAGCTCTAGCGTTCAAAGAAATCCTAATTTTTTATCTAACGTTATAATTATATCAAATTTACTTTTACAACACGGTGGTATAACAGGTAAAATTGACGAAGCAGTCTGAGAGACTGCGATCTTAAAGACAGATGTCTATAGTGTATTAATATACTGGGTGTCTCGATACTTCTGAGCGGCAGTGTACTTACGAAATGAAATGGGCAATTTTGCACAAAGGATAGGAGGTATTAGGTCATCCCATAAGTTCGTGTTGAATATATTTCCAACGAACGTTTAATTTTTCTTTCTTTTTTACGAAGACCGTTACGTCGTCGCTAGAGAATTTCCTCGGATTTCCACTCAAGTCTATCTCGCCATCGGCAACGAGCTTACGAGATGACCCAATAGAAGGTCGCGTGGGAAACGGTCCTCGAGATATCCCGGCTATTCGGCGCGCGGAAAAGGAGGACGGAGGTGTGGAGTGACGGCCGCGCGTGAAACCCTGAGAAAAGCGATACGCTAACCGCGAAAACTAGGTAGACGGAGGAGAGGTTCGTTAACGCAATTAGGAACGAGCGACAGATGGTCGTCGTCTACGAACAAGCAGGGAGGGGAATAATGGTCGTTTAACGGACGAAATTACGCCGAAGGAAGCGACGTCCGCGTCGATAAATCGTTTGGAAAGTTTGCCTGTTGCGCGAAAGTTTCTTTTCGTTTCATTGAGCGTAAATTCCTTTCGAATATTGCCAACGCCGTGATTTATCTTCTTAAAGTCCGCGCGGAGATCGTGACTCTTGCGAAAAATCATAGCAGACCACGTGGAGGTTCGGAGAGTTTCACGTTGAACGTAAATTACAGAGGCTTCACGAACGGAAATTCGAGTCCTATGACGATAAATCGACGTAGCGGAAGAAGTTGGACGATCGGTCCCAGCTTGCGCCGATCGAGATCGTGCTAGGATCGAGAAGAGATTTATCTGGAATTTCTCGTGGAGAGGAGAGAGACACGCGTCAGAATGGTGGTGTCGCATCGGGAAGGAAGTATCTCGTCGAACATACGAGCGATTATCGAACAGCTGAATTTGAATCCTGTGGAGAGGAGACGGCTGATCGATAGGACGAAACAGGAGGACGCGAGATGCAAGAGCTTCCAGGGTGTGCAACCCACGGCGAAGATCAGCATCGGTGTGTACGGGTGCAAGGAGAAGGTCGGGTACGAGATACCGGGGCCGATTAGGCGCGTGTGCAAGTTCGAGGATCGGCCGCGACCGAAACAGGAAACCGGCCAAGTAAAGATCCTCGCCTCGATTAAGAAAGAGGCTGCTGCTGCAGTCGCGCTCCAACAGGATGCCGATGCGGTCGAGGTAATCGATCGGGGAGAAACTAGCCTCGATTCTCGCCCTCTACTTTCCTTCATTTCCCTCGATTCTCCTTCGATTCCATTAGGTTATCTTTCACTTGGTTTGTATCGGAGTTTAGGAATTATTGAAAACCAGCCTAAATATCCTTTCCCTCGACTTTTCTTCGATTCGATTAGCTTATTTTTCGCTATGTCTCATCTGTACCAGAGTTTATGACTTAGAGCATAGATTTGTAAGAGTACTACTCGCGAACTATTGAAAACCACCTTAAGTATCCTTAAAAGTGAAATAACCTTTTCCTCGACTCTCCTTCGATTCGATTCGATGAGTTTAGTTTATCTTTCACTGTGATTTATCGGTAAATCTCTCAATTCTATTAGAGTTGATAAATTAGAACATATATTCCCTCGACTCTTCCATCCGATTACTCCATCGGTAAATCTCTAATTTCTCTCAGAATTTACAAATTAGAGCATACATTCCTAAGAATACTACTCGCGAATAATTGAAAACCACCCTAAACATCCTTAAAACTGCAATAACACGTTACGTGAATGTTGACGCAAGGGCAAGGCCGAGGACAAAGCGCTGGGCTCGATAAGATCGTTGGTCGGTATCGAGGATCGACCGAGATCGAAGCCAGAGAGCAGACGGACGATCCCTAAGAAAGAAATCTCGGGTTATTTCGAAGATACGATCGAGGTAATCGATCAACAACATTCGTTCCAAACACTCGCGTTACCCAATTATCTTTCTACATATATACACGCACGTAAACTACAACATTCGATATGTCGATCGAACGATGCAGGTCAAAGCGGAAGAAGAATCAAGGACGGGATCTGTCAGACCTTCGTGCAGGATCGAGGATCGACCACGCTCGAAGCCAGAATCGAGACAGAGGATCCCGCCGATAATCAGAGACGCGAGCTCGAGGATCGAGGAGACGATCGAGGTAATCGATCGGCAAACCCACGTCACGATCCTTCCAATTTTTTTCCAATTCTTTCGTCCCGAAGAAAATCCTCGATATTGAAAAGAAAAGTATGTCGAAGGTGTGTAAAAAGGGAAATGGAAGTTTTCGCTCGTATCAGCTGTTCGCGGCGCGCGATTACGCGCCAGACGAGGCTAATCGGTAGCACGGACGAAAAGAAACCTCTTGGCCAGTGAAGATGTGTCTTTCGAGACGGCACCTGCAACCGGTTTCGAACGATCACGGTTAACTGGCCGCACTTGCTCGCCCCGATAGTGGTTAATACCGTTATGGTCGGCGCTCCGCGTGCCTCGTGCACCGAGCATGAACACCCGGTAGAACAATGTCACGAATTATTCGTGATTTCGTAACCTAACCAGTCGTTGGCGTCGCAACACCCGATCCTCTCGATTCTAACTAAAAAAAATCACGTACAAAATTCGGTGAAATTTTCTTTTCGCAGAGCTCAAAATCGGCAAAGGACACGGCCGATCGTGTTATACCTGTGGCCAAAGAAGACTTACGTAAGTGTTCGAGACCTCGTAATCGGATTGTGTTACTTAATCCGTGGTTATTCCGTATGATATAATAATCTTCGATAACACGTAAATGTTAGATCGATATCGTGTTTCAATGTGACTTCTCTCTTCTCAACAGCGCAACTGGAGAGCGCCAGCTTGAACCACACAGCGGCCCATCACCGGATTTCGGTCAGACCGAAGAATCGAAGGCCTCCGAGGCGTTCTGGCTCGCAAGCTGCCAACACATCCACGTCGGCGATCACCACCATCGCGGAGGATTCGTTGGACAGCCTGGGCCAGCAGGCGATCAGCGCGAACAGCAACGCGTCCCCGCCGACAGAGTCGAAGAACGTGTCTATCACGAGGAAGTCGTCGAGTCGGTTGTCGCGTACCTCGGACATCTACGAGGAACTGGAGGCGAAATTACCGAGGAAACCAGCCAGCGTGGCGTCTCTGTCGCCAGACAGCTTGGACAACGTGACGACAGCGTCGAGAAACAGCGTGGAGGTGAACGAGGAGCAGCCAGAGATCCGATCGATCGTTCGAAAGCCGTCGAATCGGGTGCCAAAGAATACGGAGATGTTCGAGGAGCTCGAATCGAAGCTTCCGCGAAGGAGATCCTCGAACAGACTGTCCAAATCGCCCGATAGTCTAGAGGTAGCTTCCTGTTGGTTCTCAAAGTCCACGGAAGGTTTCGAGAAGCTGATGGAGTACGAAGAAGCGAAACCAGTTGCCAGAAGACTGTTGAACCCGATCTCCAAATCTACCGATCGCGTCTCCAAGTCTTCGGATAGCTTGGAAGCTATCGAGGCTCTTACCAGTGACGAATCTATCGAACGTAGGAGAAGCAGCTTCGAGTTCCGCGCTCGTAGATCGTCGAAGAACATATCTAAATCTTCGGAGAGTTTCGAAGTGCTGGAGCAGACACAGACCGGCGGCGAGGCCGTTCAGGAGCTCCAGAAGAGGAGCAGTATCTCGGATATCAATTTATCCAGAGGCAGAAGACTGTCGAAGAGTATATCTAAGTCGTCGGAGAGTTTCGAGAGGATCGAGATGAACGAAGTGAAGGACGAGGAGGAGAGCAACAGAGAGAGCTTCGGGAAATGCTGCAGAAGGTCGTCGAAAAGGATGTCGTCGGAGAGTTCGGATAATTTGGAGCTGGACGACAGGTTGGAGAACAGAAGAGTCAGGAGAACGCCTAAGAGAATACCAAGTACAAGTTACGTGGACATTGTTCCAGCTGACGATCAAGAGGAGGAGAAGAGGCAGGTGCCGGTTAGAAAGCCGTCGAGGCTTCAGAAATCGTCGGAAAGCTCTGAGCTTGGTAGTACGGATACTTTAGACTCCGAGAGGAGGAACAAGTCTTCGGAGAGTACGGAGACTCTAGACAGTTTGGAGAGAGATTTGGATCAGGAAAGGAAGCTGGAGGACCTTTCTGACGCGGTTGCCGACAGACGCGAGAAAAACGTCAGTTCTTCGAAAATTGATTCATTGAGTTCGTTTCAACGAAAATTAGTAGAAAGTATGGAAAATAAGCGTGTATTTTTATTTTCAGGACTCTTGGACAACCAACAAGCACACCATAGTGACGTCTCATTCGGATCAAATCTCCGTGGCAGACGGCACGGAGGACTCAAAGTCGTTGATCTCGCCGGAGAAGTTTTACTGGCGCCAGTCGTCTGAATCAAAGGAGAACATCGACATCCATCAACTGCTAGCCATCACGATAGTTACCAGAATGGCCGACAACGGCAACAACCAACGAAGCTCTGTGATTTATCCTAAGAAGAAGCAACAGATCACAACGTCGCAGCCTACCTCGCCTGTCGCCAAGCAAGAGGACAACAAGATGATCTTCGACAATCTACTCGTCAGCAAAAACGACGAGGATCTACAGAACATGTTGAACGGCAATATATCCGAGGTGTCTACAGACACGAAGAGTTTCAAGGAGAAATTGATCATGTTCGAGAAACTTGGCAAATGAACACTGTACACACAGACACCACACACACATATATATTGTACATGCGTAACTCTCTAACAGACATACACTGTTCGATTGATTTTGGCCTGTTGAATTGGGGGGAAAAAATAGCTGACACGAAAGAGAGTCTGTGATCGATGCTTCTTTTTCCCCCCTGGTAAACGTTTTCTTATATAAATTTCATTTGTAGACTGTGGAGAACAGCAGGCTGGGAGGCGTTTGATCACGCTCGAACCCAAGGGACAATAACGTATAAAATTCTTTGCTTCAGCGTTTTCTACGATACTTTTACACACACACACACACACACACACACACACACAAAACACCGTTTCTTCGTTTCGAACAACAGCGAAGAAGAGATTTTTCCAAAAAGAAAAAAAAAGAGAGAGAATTTATGTTAACCATAGATGAATTCGAATCGGTCGACGTGTTTGATTGCGTAACTGTAATTACTTGTGAATCGTGTGTTATTTAATTATCTTCCGTTGCAATTCCATTTTTTTTTCTTCTTCCCCTTGTTTCTTTCTTTCTTTTATTTGTAACAAAAGTCGCGTACTTGATAGAATTGCCGGTCGCGGCCGGATGCAGTATTAGACGGTACGCGTCGATTATCGCGAGGCAATAAATGGCTATTACGCATCCGTGCTTTTACAAATTCTTCGTCGTGTTTAGGAGCTTAGTGTTTCTTGTTGTACAGTAGCGTTTAGAGGCGCCGATAAATGTCGTGTTTTCGTTCCACGCTGTGTAAATACAAAGATGAGAAAAAACCCCGTTAGGCAGGATCGCGAACGAAATAATACGAATTTAATGGAGGAACAAAAGTGTAACGAAGAGAATATATAGCAGTTGTGTTTTAGTTCGATGGCCAGGCGAGCCGTGAAGAGAAAACAAAAAAAACGAACACAGGGTACGTTGTTAACGAAAACATAGTTCGAAATCGTTCATATCTAGAGACGTTGTGGCAATCTTTGGAAAATGCTGCCTTTCCATTACCAATCTACTAGTACTTTCTATGTGTAGACGTTTACATCGCGCGCGAAAGAAAAGAAGGAAAAAAAAAAGGAAAAAGGGATTATATTCTGCGAATGAAAATATTCGATCGGATCCTTTTTCGATGTTCGAAAAGCGTGAACGCTTCCTGTTTTTATTTCCTCGTCTTTCTTTTTTTCTTTCTTTCTTCTTTATCATACGAGTATACGATGCACGAAAATTTTCTGATTTTTTTGTTCAATCAGGAACGCACGTTTGGAATGATCGATAACACCGTTCCAAATCGTTCAAATCAAACGAACCGTTGACGTGCGTGAGTTCGTCGTGTACGTTGAAAGGGTGAAAGCGGGATAATCGTGGGGTGAAAAAAAGACGTTAGAGCGTATCGTCTCTGTCACGTGAGAACCGCGTGAGAAAGACAAGATACTACTTTTGCAGTCTTTTAAGTGCCTTAACGAAGTACTGAGGAATCGACTGGTTGCGTTTTACGTGTTGGATAAGAAAAAAAAAACGTTTATTCCCCCACCACTTTTCCCCTCCTCACCTTATTTATAGTTTTCTATAGTTGAATTATGAAGAAAAAACGTCTCAGTCTCCAAAAGATACGCGTAGATTGTTAGATTAACGAGAATTACAAAAATAGAGAATTGAATTAACCATCACTGTAACTCGTATAAGAACTCGCATAATTGAACAGTTCGACAACAGAATCTTTTTTTCTCTTTATTGAACCCGCATTCCAATGCGCCGCAAATCACGGCGCATCTTTAAAAAATTACAAAATACCTCAATTAGTTAATGATCGACACACTAAATACAACTTCTACAATACGTTACACGTGGCAATTTAGGAATTTGACAAATGGTGTTGCTTCTTTTCTTTTCTTTTTTCCTTTAGACACTCTTGCATGTGTGTACGCGTTTGTGTTCGAGTTTGCTTGTGTCTGACTGTATGTTGCTTAAGTCCACATTTACTTCGGTGAGAGTTTTCTTTTATAGGGACCTTAGGTGGAAAAAAGTGGCCGCTTGAAACGACGCGTGAAATTATCTTTGTGTCGTTTATTCGGTATCGCTTCGTAGAAATTCGTCAAATATAAAAAGAGGAATGTATAACAGTGACGCAATATTGGCAATGACCGTGTTAACAACGATTTTTCTCATTCACGTATCACGAATTATATTAAATATGTCTCTCAACAAACTTTTCTACAGTTCGAAGCAAACCGAGCTCGTTCGAACGGTACGTACGAATTCCGTTTGTTTATAGTACACATAGTAAAACGACGAGGAATTTCTAGTGCAAGGACGAATAAATCGATCGCCGGGGATTCGATGGAATTATCAGTTGCGTAACGCGCGAAGGTTGACTAGGCTCTTTTGCCAAGGCTTATCAGTTGTATTTATCTTGGACAAGTAAAAAATATTGTGCAAATCCAGAACCGTGGCGTAAACGTTTTTATATTAACCGTAACGCGTGAACGCTTGAAATACAGGCCTGAGATATACCGGATGAATCGACGCAATCCTTATTTATCCTTGCAATTCTTTTACACCTTATGTATACTTTTTTACACCTGGTGTGTATCGTATTGAGTCGCACGCGCGTTTAGACGCCACGAGACTTATAATTCGTCGTGTGCATCGGTGGACCCTGTGCTAGGATTGCATAGAGCCGGTGTGGAAAATTCCATAGCGTACTCGCATCGATTTGGTTCCGTCACCGAGATCAGTTTATTTTCCTTTCCACAGCTTAGATGAACTATGGTGGAACGCGCAGGTCCGTTCCAACAGGTAAGACCTCGGTCGTACTTCATCTTTGAATACTTTTGACCCTCTGGCCCGCTCCAGTCGTTCCAGTGACCCAAGTTGATGTCGTTGCCGCCAGATTTCGATCTCTGTGTCGTTTTCCCGAACATGCACAGAGTGTAAGTGTACTCTAAATCTGTGTACTCGAAGCATTCACCGTCTAGAGGCGCGAATTCTTGTTCCAAGCCATATTCGCGATCTAATTTTTCTTCGAGCTTTCTCATTTCGGTTTGCAATTCGTTCAGAGACCTTTCTGCCCCTTGGAAATTCTCCCGGGCAACTGTTGCTTCGTCGATAAGCGCTTGCGTTTCCTCGTCGTACTGTACTTGAGGTTCTTCTGTTTTCTCTTGCTCATCACCTGATACCTCTTCCCCCTCTATGCCCTCATCTTCTTCTTTCTCTTGTTCCGATCCTTCTTCCGCAGGTTCCTGAATTTCTTCCTCTTCTTCTTTATTATCCGCTGGTTTAAATACCCCTGAAATATGATGTAGATGTATAATATATAGTTTAAGATAAAAATAAACTAAGTTTATTATAGAATAGCACTAACCTTCTTCTAATAATAAGAAAGGCTTGATAATTGCCCACGCTTCATCCACGAATTCTTGAAGATTGATTTCCTTCTTATTATTCAAGAAGAACATTGCCTCTTCTTCAGTTACAGCACCATCCCGATCTTTGTCAAATGTCACTCTTGTTTGAAGCTCTATGATTGTTATAGTACCACTGCTGTCAGAATCTAGTAGTTTAAAATAGTCCTCAGCTTCGGATTCGTGTAACTCATCCTCTTCATCTCCTTCCTCTATCGCAGGTTGTTCAGGTTCAGACGGCTTGTACTTCTCTAAAGCAGCACTTTCTCGCTCTTCTGCTTGAGTCTTCAATAATTCTTTCTCTTTCCTTACAAGCTCTGCCTCTTCGTAGTCTGCGCGTAATTTAACTAAACGTGCTTGATAAACTGCCTTTAGTTGTTTACCTTTGGCAATCATCTCCACTCTAATCATGTTACCTTCCCTGATCAGCTCCTCTGCTTTTTGTTGCTCCAACCTAGCTTCCTTTCCAAGCTCGTTACAATTGTTTGGACACTCCTTACCTGAGTTATATTCATCGCTGGCATCGCAACAATCGCAAACGCCATCGTTTATCCAGGTGGAGGGTATGTAACGAGGCTTATAACCAGAATTTTCGCAATAGAACGAGCCATTGGTGCAGGCAGGAGTACCGGGCTCGTCGCTGCCATCCGCGCAATCACAATAATTATCGTTGACGTGTGAAAATGGTATTAATAAACTTCCGTCGAGACACTGGAAGTCGTGATCCGGCGAGTAAAGCGAACTTTTCGCGATAGGTATGCCACGAATTTGTAGCACCTTAGAGCCGGCTACGTGGCTCAATAAAATCGAGAGATTAACTGATAGAAAAAGCACCAGGTATATCCTGCAATTGTTCATCGTTATTCCTTTCGTTTACTTATCTACTGTGCGAGAATGTTTTTCACCCGCGGCGAACTAGCGAAACTTTTCCGGTAAAACCGAGCGATTTTTTTTTTGAGGTTCAAAACGGACACGAGTACAAGACACACACATTCGTGCACGCCTACTACATCGGCATGGTACGCGTCTCACTTTTAAGTGAGGTAGACGAACTACAATGTCGAGAAACGATAACCTGTGGCGCTACATTTGCACGCAAGTCAGTAAATCAACTTAAGGCGGTTTATTCAGTTGCGCAGTTTCTACGATTTTTTGGATTTAAAAAACGGACAACGTGGAAGGTTGCATTGTCTATTGGCAAGGGATGCATATGGAGCGTAATTATCTCATAATTAAACGTCAACATAACCCGTTTCGAGCTATCGAAAGAACCGAATATTATCTTTCCGGTGGTCTGACAATCACGATAGATTAGAATGCTTAATCGTTTCGTAGAATGCGATTTGTTTCTTAATCAAATAATATCATTTTGTAATCGAACGTTGATAAAGAGACAAGCGAAAATTCCAACAATAAATCGTAAAGGTGAATGGTTGATGCAGGTAGTCTTTTTCTACTAAATTATTCTATAAACGTGAAGCATTTCAGTGTGGGCGGTATATGTGGTGCGCAGTGCATACTTTCAAGGTTAAACGTATTTCTAAGTAGCGACGCGATGTTATGAGATAAGCGGACAGCGCGGAAGGTTATCTTATATTTCAAAATTTGTTGCACTATCGTGATCGCATCAATTTATCCGCTTTGTGGGCAAGAACATTACTGCGTAAATAACAACGCTATACCCCTCAACTGCTTGACTGACATGTGACCGGTTTAAAGTTTCACCGTGACTTCCATGCGCAACAATAATAATTCGCTTCTCGCCCTTCTACTAGCCAGTTTCGAGGCTGAGTGCTCTAGGTTATGTTGTGTTTATATCACCGCCCGTGCAAAAAGATTCTTGACCGTTTTCATACGTTGTGGATAGCCTTTGTAAGATAGGCTTCGGCACGAGCACCGTGGTACGAAATATGAGAGAATATACGGGCATCTCGTGCGTCGTAGACCAATTAGAATACCATTTAACGATACTATACCGCAACGCTCCACTGCACTAATTCAATATACGGGCCAAGGTTTGCACTTTTTAAATAATCCCATCCGACATAGGTGCATGTACATACGAACGCTAGACGTATGCAGGTGTGCACTTGCATTAATTCACTTTCGATATTTCGTAATACCGAAATGCTTTTTCATCACTTGTAGAGTAATTGTTCTTCTTTATATGTGTTTATAATTAAATGAGTTAGGCAAACAGTAATGAAGTGTTATTTTTTATTAAACCACTAGTGTTACCTTGTCCTATTTTTTTACACTAACATGTAGATGTATGTGTTGTACAATGTTATTTAACTGTTGTCTTCACCTGTCACTTTTAGTTGTGGACCAGATGATAACTTGCATATATTTTTTCTTATTCTAATGTCATAAACTTTAAATGAAGTACTGCTTTATAGGTGCAATAAGACAGTGTAATGAACGTAGGACTATCTGCATACGATGGTTTGGAGAAAGAGTCAAGCTCTAATAATGCATTGGAAAGTGGAGGAGGAACTACAAAGAAGCTGGCTAGAGGTATATCTCGAGCAACTGAAAATGCAGCCATTGTCTCGTATGCTCGTTCTCAATTAGCTACTGTAGGATCTTTAGATACTCCAGAATTCACATTCTCACTCCCTGATTTGACTGTATACCCAGGTACTTTATCTATTCTGCAGCATTACAGTTACAATTACTTTCTCTATTGTACTTTCTACTAATTGAATAACAAATTGTACTTAGATTCATTTCGTCAGTTTTTGGAAAAAGATCTGATAGAAGGAGGTTGTTTAACTTCCCTGGAGGCTGCAGGTCGTTTAAATTGGTGGTGTGGCTATAAAAATGGAAGTAGCAGAGTGTTATGGCCTTTGGCAACATCTGGAGATGGCAACTGCCTTCTACATGCAGCTTCTCTTGGCATGTGGGGCTTTCATGATAGGCTCCTCACACTAAGAGAAGCACTGCATAATACTCTGGCCAAAGGAGAGTATAGACATGCTTTGTTCAGAAGGTGGAAATGGAGACAAATGGGCTTAAATGCGGCTGCAGGATTGTCTTATACAGAAGCAGAATGGTTAACAGAATGGCAAACTATTGTAGATATGGCTTCTCCTATATTCAGAAACCAAACTGCTACTTCTTACCAAAGTCTCGAAGAAGTATGTCAGATTTTTACATTCACGCTCCTAAAATTCTATAAAATGCTTATGGTGATAAAACTTTATAGGTACATGTATTAGCTTTAGCACATGCTTTGAAGAGACCCATAATAGTCATAGCAGAAACCATGTTAAAAGATGCAGAAGGTGTAGCCTTAGCACCAATTCCATTTGGTGGAGTCTATCTACCATTAGAAGTACCTCCATCGCGTTGTCATAGAACCCCATTACTTTTAGCGTACCATTCGGCGCACTTTTCTCCTCTTGTTACCGTAGATGGATCGAGTGATTTCGATGGTTGTAATGAAGGAGTTAGCATACCTCTTGTGGACCCAGATACAGGTCAATTATTACCAGTTTTGTTCGCGGTAGATCCCGGACCTGATTGGGACTGGGAAGAAGGATCTCGAGACTTATTAACTTGCCAACAAGATACGGTGATTATCTGTTACCAATAATTTAACGCTTAAGTATATCTATTGAAATATATTTGTTTAATGTTTGTGTTTAGATGGAAATTTTATTAAGACAATACTTAGATTGTGAGTACCAAAATTTCACATCGGAAGAAATTGAAAGATTGTCTGATACGGACGGTTCACTTTCTAAAACAGCAAAACAATTACTGGGAGTTGCTAAACAATTCGGGTCGATTGGAAAATCCGTTAGTAAAAGACTGTGGTCCATAACGAAAAGACCAAAGAGCCTGCCACCAACGGCGGGCGGACTTTCTACGGAAGGTTTATTATGTGTAAGAATCAGAAGTAGACGTCATCAATACGTGGATCAAATGCTTCAAAATTACCTTCAATGTGCTCACGCAAGGTATCACATTTTTATTACATTTTTCAAGTTGCCTAGCATAATGTTTCCATTATTATTCTTATAATACTCTACAGGTACCTGCAGGATCATAAAGTTGACGAAACTGGTAGCGAAATGCATTATGGTGCTGGCAAATCCAAATTTTATGCCGCCAGTGATCGAGATAGCCATGCTAGCGTTAGCAAATTATTACCCACCAATCCCAATAAAGATCGTACACTTTACCTTTCAAGGTATTCCCCATATATATAATATATTTTCAGTAATTTTTATATTAATTATTTTTTACAGATCAACCTTTTATAAGGACCAAGCAGCTGGTAAATCGGGGCCAGAATTATGGAGTAACAGCAGCAGTAGTTTAGCAGTACGTTTTTATACATTCATTATAATCGTAATATTTGTATAATTTCTAATCTTTTTTTAGGATATCGTTAAAGAATGTCGTAACGAGCAGTGCCCATTTTTCGGTTCGGCAGAAAATGATTATTACTGTTCACAGTGTTGGGCAAATCGACGTTATCGCTGAATAATATGTCTCAGCGACATGTGACAATAATAACTCTTTAATATTGCTCGAATTAAACCAAGTATAATCGGATTTAGACGTAACACTAGCCATTTTAAAAGGCCGCTTGGAAAAAAATAATTGACTCGCCAGATTTTCTTCTTCTTGCTATGTTAATTCATTCTATTTCATATTTGGTTTGAGAGATTGGATGACATGCTAGTGATCGTTGTGTCTTGCGACAATAAAAACGCTTCCTTCGTACTGTTGATAGAAACATTAATGAAGACATCAATGCTGACTGTAGTAGTATGCAAGTTACAAATGATGTACAAAGTTAAGACAAAATTAATATTTATACTAAGGCCGCTATTACAATGGCAGCAAGAGAGAGAATGATCTTATTGCACTTGTCATCCAAAGTATCATCATTTATAATTTTTCTTCTTATTTATTAGCAATCATCCCTTTTGAAAAGCATATCAGATGTACAGGGTTTACTCTCTCTTAAACATATATACACGTATATATACTAAATGCCTTTCATGCGTAGCTTATAAATCAGAACCTTTCTAAATGAAAAATTATATTTTCAAGTAACGATAAACCTCTATTTTCTCGAAAAAAAGAAATAAACGATTCATGACTTTTTTGCACGTGCCTTCTGTCGCGCATAATAATTAATATAAAAGTTCAACGTAAACGACGATAATACTCGATTTTCAATGCTGCGATGAGAAAGTTGTTTTCTCTCGCAACTACCTCTACCGCTTTTAATATAATGCTTTGTACGAATTAATCACGCTTTGGTCGCTCACTGACTCGTTATTAAGTGAGATCATTTAAGAAAGCGTGGGTTTGATATGTTAAGATGATAACGAATCATTATCGTATTTAACCTCGTTGCCTGTTGGCAATCGTACGTGTAAAGTTGTGTGAAAAATAAAACATATTTTTATATCCTGTGTATTTTTTATTGTCCTTTATGATTAATCCTGAAAATAATAATAGAAAATTGTGATGCCATCTTACGGAAAGAATGTACGTAGTGATCTATAAAACACGTGTTACCTGTATATAGTACAGATCATGTTTAGTCAGAATAGTATTGCTTTACAAGTGGCTTCGGCTTCGTGTTTACCGGGTTCAGTCAGAAAGTTTTATTTACTTTTCACATGAATCACGTAACTTGACAGGAGTTGGGTTTCATGAAATAGTGTACATCGAAATGATTGAATTATGCACGAAAAAGCGAATGTTAATTGGCATTTCGTTCTTGGGAGGGTTAGTTTTGTTTTCATTTCACTCGACAGTTATTGATTCATAATTAAGTTGCAATAATAAACCATTATTTAACGCAAATATTGTACACGCACTAATACTGCAATTTCATAATATTTCTCACATTTATATTTCACATTATAGGTTAACAATATTAGTATTAATTGTTGAAAGTCATTGGACTGATAACCCCAATAAACTTATTTTGGAGAGTTTTGAAAATACCACGAGATGTGCTTCTGGAGATGATTATGAAATAACATCAGAATGTCACCCATGCTCTGCTTTTGAAGTAGCAAGCAGGAGCATTGATGTATGTATTCATGCCAGATACAAAGAAGTGTTGAAATGTAAAAGTGGAGAAACTATAACCAGAAGGTAAAAGCTGTGATCTACTTTCTATCTTGTCATTGTTTTACTAAGAGTTATAAAAATGTTATAATAATAATATAAATTTATTCAGTTGTGACAGGGTAGCTTGGTTAGAGGAAAGAGAATTTTGGAAGTTTGAGACGTTTATGTTACTTCTGGCATTAACCTCTTGTATCAGTGTTTATTGGAGAGAAAATGTCCTGAGGCAGAGGATAGTAAGAAAAATAGCCAGGCAACTAAGGGCTAGTGCTTAGCCTTGAATAGCTTTTTTTATTTTTTTTTTTATCGATACCTTTATAACTTGGCAGGCAGCTTATAGAGATGGATGAAGTTTATTTGGAAGTGTATTCTTTGTCAGAATTATGTCTAGCTCCGATAGAAACAATAGTAACACTGTTTACTGTAAAATATTGTAAATCTAAAATTAATATCAAGCTTGTACTAAACAAACAAAAGCCTCTTGAAAGAGCATACACTATAGACATTTCCACTTTTGTATATGAAGTTATGGATGCAAATAAAATTCCATATTCCGCGAGTTCGTGCGAGTTGCCAATTATTGTTGTAAATAAAACAAGCTGCATTGCTGGCCTTTGTGCAATTTTACGACAGATAATTAAAGAAGTGACGATGGATTGTCCGAAACATTATTGTCGAAAATTATTAGGATTCAAGGAATCGTGTCTAACTGCTTGTTCAGAAGCAAGTATCTGGACGAAATTTTGCGAGGTCGATTTGATTTTAACCGTAAAATTTTTGCACTCGGATGATGCAATACAAAGTGAACTGCCTTCCAGTATGGCAAGATTTGAACGTCATATGTCGCAGCCAGCCAGGTTGCACAATTTGTATAAATATACAATGTCGAAAAAATTTTCCGACGAGAGCATAGTTTCGCGAAATGGAACGCCAGAACATTTATACGCCGAAGGCTCATATGTCACACTGGCAGATATAATTATATTTGTCTGCACTCATATATTATTGACTGTATATTCGAGTGAGACGACAATGAAGTTACTTCCTCTGACTGCTAAATGGTACGAAAGAATGGTTGAAGATCAAATTATAGTAGACTGTCTCGACTGTTTACCACTGTTGAAGAGCCAAGACATGACCAATTACGTACTTCCCGAAGTAGCGAACCAAAGTCTATATAAAAGCGATCCGAATAGACACAAACCGAGAAGTCGCATTTATACGAGGCAAGACGATGTGCAGCATTCCTTACAGTTGTTCAAAACTTTGAATATAGAAACCGAGCTCGACTTGGAACCGTTCGGTGCGGAATTGAATCTTGATTGGTCAACGGTACCGTACGATGCCACTCCCGAAGGTGGTTTTTTGCCACCTGCTCGTTTAAAAAAGAAACACGAACAATTGCAAAATATGTTTAAACCAGTCATGAAGTTGGCAAAAGCGGGAGATGTAATTGTAGACTTCTGTTCTGGTAGTGGTCATTTAGGTATACTAGTCGCGTACTTTTTGCCATATTGTACCGTCATACTATTAGAGAATAAAGAAGAATCACTGAACAGAGCCAAAGAAAGAGTGAAAAGGTTAAAGTTGACGAACATTAAATTTTATCAGTGTAATTTAGACTATTTCAAAGGACACTTCGATATTGGTATGTCGTTGCACGCATGTGGAGTTGCGACTGACTTAGTAATACAACAATGTATCAAAGAAAAGGCTATTTTTGTGTGTTGTCCCTGTTGTTATGGATCGTTGCACGATTGTCATCACCTGACATACCCACGAAGCAACGTTTACAAACATGAAATAGATCAGGACAAATATATAGTTCTTAGCCATGCTGCGGATCAGACGCACGACGAGAAAAATGTTAAAACAAAGCAAGGATACGAATGTATGGCGATTGTCGACACCGATCGAAAGCTACAAGCTGAAGAATTTGGATATAGAGTGTACCTTTCTAAATTTGTACCAAAAACGTGTACCCCTAAAAATCATATATTAGTGGGTATCCTTAGAAAAGAGATTGTAAGCATGTAAAAGTTAATTGTGTTAAATATTCACGATTTCTATATTGGTAATGATTTTGAATACGAAGCGTTTATTGGATAAACGATTCTCGAATAAAGATACGTTCACTCACCTAAAGAACAAAGTATTCTTTTTTTTTTTTTTTTTTAATCAGTCTGTTCAAATTGTATCGATCGATATATGTACGAAACGAAATATCGTAATGATATTTTTCGAACTTAAACTATTAACAAAGCACGTAATATTGTTGCGCTAGTTTTATTAAATTGTACGAAGAGATTTTATTGGTATGTACAAAAAAAGGAGAAAAGAATTATGTAGTATACAAATTATTAGTGTTACGTCAGTGTCTTACACAGTTTCATCTATTATTAAGTAGCTAGGGACAACATGAAATGAAAAAGGTTTTACAGTATGTCAAGAAACTAGGGAATATTTACTTTTTTTTTTTTTGCTATACTACTACAAGCGCTGAGTATATGCTTCTTTTAGACAATATTGAAATTTAAATATTCTTTTGCTTTTATTTTACCGTTTAACATTTTTTTTTTGTTCAACACTTAATTTTGGTCTTTTAATAAAATGGCTAATGGAGAATGAAGATAGAAGTACCATTTACACATTTCATGTCTTTAAGATTGGATTTCATGTACTATTTACAATTTCAGTCGTACGAGCACAGATACACTACCACAGAGTAGGTTAGCTGTATCTGGTATTCCTTTCACTTAAGTAGTAAGCTTATGTTTAATCAACTTCACCTACAAAGCTTTTGTCCCCGTGTGAAAGATAATACTTAACATCAAGAGATCTTAATAATTGTTATAAGCTAAACTAACTTTGTGGATGTAGCGCAATGCACGTAGAAGTCCATAAACATACTTCAGTACTTTTCTCAAAAGATTTAGTATAATCGTTAATGACAAATCATTGAAACTTAAGATATATATCGTTCATAGCAAAAATTATATTCTACGTCTAAAAACCATGATCAAACAAGCTGTCCAAAGACCTGCCCTAAAATTGTCGTATTAATTCGCAAAAAGACAATCCTCGTAGCTTCGTTATAAAGAAGAAGTACAAGTATCTATCTGTAATATTTAAACCTATATAAATCTGCTAGTATAAAAAAAAAAAGAAGAAGAAGAAGAAGAAGAGGAAAGATAAGAGAACGAAGTCGCTTCTTCGATAGAGTTTCGATCGAAAAGAGAAAAAAAAGAAAAAAAAATATACGTATAGAAGTTTGCAAGTAATATACTTCTCTTAAATAAAAAAAAAATTTACGTCTACGAAGAATGTTTAACAGGTCTTTCTTGGCAGTTTGTTTTTTCTTTTCTTTTTTCTTTTCCCTCACTTATACATCGAATTCATTTCCCGACTTTTGGCTTCATAGCATAAATAACCACACGAAACGGAGATATTTCATTTTTATTCAATGTAAATTTTATCGATGATTCGAGAAAATGCAGGATCAATTGATGTACCCATTGATAAACATCAAATATATGACACACGGATAAAGAAGACTTGAGCCAGCCCAATCATTGTACTTTTTATTATGATTAATTTTATCGAACGCTGATCACCGTAAGGTAAATCAATTGGTCCTTTATCATTTCCTTTTGTTTTCTTGCCTAGTTTTTTTAAAAGATCGACGTGCCAACCACAACACAACCAAAGCACAGTGCTCCTAACAAAGTACTTATGTTTCATACCGTATATTGCTTAAGTTAAAGAGCTTATAAACACGGCATTCTCAACAATGTTTCTTATTATTTTCTTAAATCCCCTTAGAATTCTAAACGCAGAATTCCGATATCGTTTCGTTCGAGGATATTTCCAGAAGTAAATACACACGTTCGTTAAAACGAATTTCGCTACATTCATCTCTCGCAGAGAAAAAGAAAAGTAGAAAGAGAAAAACAGAATTATTCAGCTGCACCTTTACATGATCGGACGAAATAGAGAAGAAAAAAAAGATTTCAAATGAACAATCAACGGGTTTTGTAATATCGATTGCCACCTATAGAGGGTGCGTGTGTGTGCATCGCGATTAAAACGGACAACGCGATGAAATTGTGACGCCATTTCTCCGAAATAGAATTCTACTTACACGTCTATTATAGCAATACGACAAGTAAAATTTCGCTTCTTTTCAAACCGCCGTATAACTTGAAATTTGTTCTCGGTGGCACGTCTGAAAAGATAGATAGAGAGAGAGAGAGCGTCCGGTTTAGAAGCCCGTTAATTTATTAATCTATACAGAACTGATAATAATTAGCGTTTTCGAGTTTTTTTGAAATTTTCTGTTTTATTTCGTCGTTTTAGGAAATGGATCACGACTCTCCGTTGCCACTGTCGTCACCGTCTTCGTAGTCGCTCGCGCTCATTTGCTCGTCGTCGTCGTCGTCGTCCAGCTCGTACTCGTCGTCATAGAAATCCGTCATGTCTAGCTGCTGCTCGGCTGGCCTCGCGTGAGTCTTGATACAGTAATCTTCGAGCGTCACAGGCACCACGATCCCTTCCTTCTCGGCCTCCATCTTTGCCGCTTGCGCTTGTTTCCTGTAATCGTCCAGAGACATATTTCTCACTCTTATCTCGCCGGTACAACCTCTCCTATCTCTTTTTCGAAAACGCGTTTAAATCTAATCGAGCGGCCGTTTAAACGTGATAAATCTTTAGTACGAATCGAATAATATTTACCGTCTCATGGTAATCAGCGATCATCCAGTTTGGATTGGCAGCGTATCTAATCGAGATATAAACGAAAAGAAAAAAAAAAAAAGAGCCGCAGGATACGGAATAGATCAATATTATTGTACCTTATGATATTTTCATACTCTTTGTCTTTACCCTTGGAGTCGCGCCAGCGCCTATACATCACAGAGGCATCCACATTGGCCGGACTATATGTATTGGGCTCGTTCAGCAGTGAAATCACCGACAAGAGGATCGTCCTATTCCAAAACCAGAACACGTTTATCGTTTTTGCACGCCATTACCTCGCGTGTCTGATAATACAAGACACCTCAGCCTACGTATGTATACACACCCTGTTCACACATGCATTGAACGTGTGTACGCAGGTTTCTTTCAACACGTTCTCTCCCCTCGACAATTCTACTAGTAACGATACTCACCTGACGTTCTGTGTTGGATTCCACCTCTCGCACGGTAGCTCTCCGCTCTGTGGATCGTCTACTGGTGGATGTAGGATCGATATGCATAGATCTCCGTTCTGCGGGTAACAGAGAAAAAAGGAAGAGGTTGAGATATAAATGTACGAATCTGTGTGAAAAAATTTGGACGAAAGAGTTGCAATATCTTGCAGTGGATAGGACTGAAGGTTAGCGCTCGACTTTGGCGAGGAGAAGAATTATTGGATCGAGGGAGAGAGAGAAAAGCGAGTTCCGCGTTAATCGTCCCTGAAGGCACATTGCCCATCGTGGAAACGAGCTTCGACCAGGTCGAAGGACGAAACCTCCGTGGCTTCTTTCGCGGACCTGAAAATCCTTGTCCGGTACTCGTTGCGCGCCTTATTCGGTGCCCGAGTCACGACCGTGAGGTGTATAGTCGACGGAAGAAATATGGCGACGTCGTAAAATCGGTCAGGCGTCATAGTTTTACAGGTTCGGGCGTATACAGAAATCTGAGAAGATAGGAACGTGAAAATCTTAGTCGGGGATGTGTGAAGTAAGCTTTAGCTTTGATTCAGTTCTAAGTAATATATATAAATAAATATATAATAAATACTAATAGAAAATGCTGTAATTGAGTTTGGATGTTGCTGCATCAATCGGTGTCGCTATTTAACCCATTTGCATCATTAGCTTATATATATACGCGCAATTTTCCTAGTCACTATCACGAGAGCGTATCGCAGACTACTAAAATTTCGTGTTAATTTCCTATTTTTCATATTTTCCAAATTATGCAAACGGTCAAGGTGGTCATTTTGGTAATCGGGCTTTAAAAAATTGATTTTTTGCTTGCATTTTTCGAGAGTACGAATTTTCAAGAGCGCATTGTTAAATTTTTTCAGGTAAAATCCCGAGTATTTCGGCTTGCACAGGCTTTTGTAGCGAGCAGGAGTACGTAGGTTATTTCTACCTGTTTCTATTGTACTTCACGAGACCCTTTCTGACGTGAAATAATATAGCAGTACGACCCTTCTTAATGTAACCGTGCACTGCAGCGGTGTGTTTCAAGTGAATAAATATGTACTGGCATTGCAGATTAGTCCTAAGTATAGATGCCACACGAAAATTTAGTAGTCAAAGTTTAAACGCGTTTCTCTTGAAACGTTCTTTCTCCGACTGGGGGAAATAAAATAACAGAAAGTGACCAGGTGATCGGTCTGAAATTTTAACGTGCTATTCTACGTACCGTTGGTTCTCTCTGCTACCAGATTTACATTTCTATGTTGAAAATTTCACATACTTTTTTACATCGTCAAATTTTTAGAAAGAATGGAAAATTTCGATATTTAAACTTTGAATGCACCCCATTTTGTTAAATTTTGGTATCAACAATAGCGGTACTCGTTCTTTATTTATTTTTTTGTCTTAGACGAGTTAGTGAGCTGAAATTAAATTTACCAGCGAGGCACTTCTCTTTAAAAACCTTTTCCTTACCTCCAGATATAGCATTGTTGATTTTTAACTTACTTTCTGACTTAATTCTGGTATAAACAATTTAAAAAAAATCTTAAACGAGTCTGTAAGCTAAAATCAAATCCGCCAGCGAGAAATCTCTCTTCAAAGGCGGCCCATATTTACCTTCAGATAAAGCGTTAAAAATAAAATAAAAAGCTATTTGAAAAATAGTTTCGCATGCTTCGCAAGTGTACCGATAAATAAAAAAAATTTGACAGCGCTATTCACTCTGGATACCGAGAAAAAAAATCCCGAATATTGGCAAAATTTTCCTGGCGACTACAACGACCCCTGGGATTCCCGACCTCCCTACATTCCTTCCACCAACTATACACCTTTCCCAAGCGCAAACACGCTACGTGTCTCTCGTTATTGAAACCCATTCCTTGTCCTTCGTTCTGCCGCGTAAGAAGGCTGAACAAGCTCTCGAATCTCGTAACAAACCAGTCACTACTAAAGCTTCCACCAGAAAATATTCTCCGACACGGTGGATGTAATCGAAAAGAGCTTGCAGCCGGTTCGAACGGCGCCAGGTGATGGTCGGATCTCCACGTCCTTCGCTCGATTGGTCTCGCGAAACTTCTTATTGCAAGCGTTTCCCATGCGGGTATCGTTGAACACGACGTTCGCCACGTACGTCTCCAATGACGCAAGCAAACGAGGCTTGCTTCGCGAGGATGTTGAGCAAGCACCAGCTCAAACATGCTTCGATCACTTTCGAACGAACCTGGATCCATGTAGAATTCGCTAGAATCGGATGTAATCTGTTTCCACCGAGATAACAGGCAATTTACGCAGCGATGAAAAGTGGTAAACGCACGTCGAAACGTGACGGTTCACCCTCGGAAGCCGAACGCGGGAGACGAATGCTGGGTCAATTTTGACCCATAGCAAAATTTCTATTGTAACGCGGTAATTTTTATACGCGAGTTGTTTTTATTATACCTCTATTTACGCGGTCAGACGGGCTCAGTTTTCTATAAACTTTCATTGAATTTATTACACATCACAGACGCAAATTCTTATTTATACTTTAGTACTAATCACATAACTCTGACCTTTTTTGCTTTTTTTTTTAACCTCATGTCCTACGATTTACGTTTTACAGATTCGGGCACCGAATAAAACTTATTTTGCTTCTCTGAAATATCATTACTTTTTTTATTAACCCACGCGATTTAACACTAACCGTACCACAACACCCCGGTCAAACGACCGGTTTTAAAATTTCGATTTAAAACCATGCACCTGTTTTTCCTCCGTATTTTGTCAAGAATAAAAGTATGTAATTGGTTTTTTATTATCTAAAGGCTGTTTTCTGCGTTGTTTCCTATGTTAAATTGACAATCACCTGTACTCCTTTCGGAAGAAATATGATTATTTCACGGTATACATAAAGTGTCGGTACGGTTAGTGTTAAATATTTTTATAACTTATACCTGTTTTTCTTACCATATTTTTTTCCCCATATAAACAGACTCTATTTGCGCGATTTTTATCCGCGTAAAAGAAATCAACGCGGAACGGTCAATCCGCGTAAATGGAGGGATGGGTGTATCTTGAGGTATGTTTTTCTTGGTTATTTACATTTGACACGTAAAATAGGTGTATTTCCTGTACTAAACTTGACTTAAGGGGGTATTCTAGTCTAGACTTTTCAGAAAAATCAATTTCATTTTTTTACATTTTCTGAAAGTGGACATTTGCAGAAGTATGACTGTGGAAAGATTTTTCCGAATTCGTAAAATTGACGAGGTTATAGATGGTTAAAGAAGACGACATGCAGCCCGTAGTCGTAAAGATACCATTCTCGTGTAACTGGTACGAGAAACTTTAAACTTTTTCTAAATGACCGACATGATATCTCAAGTTCTAGTTGTCCGATTGACTCCAAATTTTACACGCACCTTCGGTGGATGTGTCGTTATCGTCTGAACCAGAATTATGCCAAAATATATATTTTTCTGATTTTTGGAGCCTCTGAAAGACGAAAAAATGTCGCAGAAATCGATATTCAAAATTCAAAGTGTCGCCATTTTGTAAATTTTCACTATTTCTTTTTCATTCTGGTTCACACATATATAATTCAGACAGCTTTGATTATTTTCACTTGAAAAAAATTGTGAATTTTCTTAAGACATGAATAAATACGTGTGCAAAATGCCGATACTGAGAAACTTATACTTTCCTTACAAAAAAATCCCTAAGAAGAGCTAAAAAATGACACTTAATCGCCGTCGAGTCAAAAAAGAAACCCTGCATTCGTCGCACGAGGGTTAATTAGTTTTAATCGACAGGTTACACACGACGGAGAGATCGGACAATAGACGAAACAACGCGACGATACACGGAACGGCCATTGAGAGGAAGTGGTGAGCGCGGTTTCTCGTCCGTCAACCGTTACCAGCGGCTACTTCCGCGTCCAGCCGGTCGAAACGTCTACTAATCCAGCCGGTAATCTCGATTAGCATTTACACGGGCGACTTCTAGCGCCGTATGTCTTCGTGGAACGCTCGTGCCGGTTCACTGAAGCGTTTAAATCCGATCGATCGGCATAAGAAACGACTACATAAAAGCCAACAGCGGAGCTGTTCTCCGCTCACGGCTGTTAAGTGCTCCGCCCGTAGACACCGAAGCGCGAGCGCGATTTCGGCATCCAGGATTTTGCAAAATTCGAACAGATTGACCCTTTACACTGACAGACTTATTCACGTGTAACCGAGACGAGATATGGAAGATCAGCTCGACGATAGATGGGGGAGATAATCGAAGTGTGAGAAAGGGTTGAATCGTAGAAAGATTACTCCGTTGATTAACGGGACTTGAACACACGCCTGCTGGCGTCGCTACCGCATCGCGAGAAAGAAGAGGAGCACAGCTTGTTGGCAAACGAACTTTCCCCGTCGTTTGTTTTCCGCGCGCAGATCCACGGTGAAACGGCGGCGCGATCGTTGATTCGGGCCAACGTTGAAAACCAACGCTTTCCACGTGTCGAACGGAGGAGAAAAGGGGAGAAAGAAACGTAGGTAGAATTAGAAGAGAAAGAAATATTGGATCGAATGGTTTACACGAAGGGAGTGACGCGCAGTATCGAGCGGCTCTCGTTTTTTCGAGCGCGTGAAAAAGATGGAAGTGGGTCGTTTGATTTTCCCGGAGATCGAGGGGAGCTTGTGAAATCCCACCGGTTTCCAGCGTTCAAGTTGCACGGTGCCAGATCAAGATCGACCGTATACACGCCGATAAGGAGGCTGAAGAACGTGTACGATTCGCTTTTTCTCTCTCTCTCTCTCTTCTCTTTTCCCGTCCGTTTTCCGTCGACCTCGGCTACCATTCTCGAACGGGAACGGGCCAGAAGGATGTACGAGGATATATTCGTGCGGTAAGCACGCTCTTTGTGGACAAAAGTACAGCATACCGCAGTGCCGTTGGCGAGTAGCCAGCGTAGAGCGAGAGAGAAACGTTCCTCTCTGGTTCTCAGCCTGTGAATCCCGAAAATTCGGCGCCCATCACTCACAGCCGAAGATATTTCTCGATATCGTGCCGTATATACTGCTGGTAAGACGATACGAGTCTTTCAATCTGT